ATATGGGATATATTAAGGAGCAAAGATCACAATTTGGTTTAGAATATGGTAATGTTTCTTGTCAGAAGTATAGACTCAATGATGGGTTGACTCGACAGTTGACTATGAATTTCTGCACATCTCTTCCGTTGTGGCGGTATTATAAGAGTTAGAGTAAGACCGATGTGTGTCATGGGGTGCAATGGGAGCATCAGATTCGTGGAATTTCGACTAAGTTGATCAGAAAATGTTATTGTGGTCCGGTGAGTAAAATGATGCAAGGTGTGAATTCGACAAAGTTATGTAGTCATGTTTCGGCAAAGAATTCCGGATGTTGGAATTAGGCTCTAAGGCCTATCTGCTTGAATAAAAGGGAATATCTTCAGAACTGATCGAGCTAATGTGCTCAACTGAGTGGTGGTAGCACGGGAAGGTGCATGAGAAGTTAACCGGTAATTTCAGACTACTTCAGTGTAGTTCTCAGCACGTTCGAGGACGAACGTATGTTTAAGTGGGAGAGAATGTAACGACCCGACCGGTCGTTTTGAGCTCTAGCACTCCGTTCAGCAGCCTGAGGCCGTGAGCAGATTCACTTCAGGTATTATGACTTGTGCGCGTGGTCGGAATTGAATTTCGGGAAGTCCAGAGTTGATTTGGAAAGAGAATTCTCATTTCGGAAGCTTAAAGTTGGAAGAATGAACTAGGATTGGATTTTTGAGTAACCGACCTCAGAATCGGGATCTGAAGTTTCCAGCAGGTTCGTATGATGATTTCGGACTTGGGCGTATGCCCGGTTCGGGTTTCGGATAACCCGGGAGCATTTTGGCGCCTATTGTGGAAGTTAGTATTTTAGAAGAAATTTCATAAGTTTGGCTTGAAGTGCATTTTAGTGTTATCGATGTCCGTTTGGGATTCCGAGACTGTGAATAGCTCCGTATGGTGATTCTGGAGTTGGGGACGCGATCGAAAGTGAATTCGGAGGTCCGTGGGTCATTTTGGAACCATTTGGCTAAAGATAGAAATTTGAAGGTCTTTGAGAAGTTTGACCGGAGTGGACTTTTTGATATCGGGGTCGGAATCCAATTCCGAAAGTTGGAATAGGTCCGTAATGTCGAATATGACTTGCACGCAAAATTTGAGGTCAATCGGACGTGATTTGATATGTTTAAACATCGGAAATAAAAGTTTGAATTTCTGAAGTTCATTGAGTTTGGATTGGAGGTTGATTCATGATTTTAGCGTTGTTTGATGTGATTTGAGGCCTCGAGCAAGTCCGTAATGTGTTTTAGGATTGGCTGGTATGTTTGGTTGGGGTCCCGGGGGCCTCGGGTGGATTCCGGCTGGTTAACGGATCGAAATTTGGATTTTTTGGACAGCTGAAGGAATCTGGTTGTTGGTATTTTCGCTTCTGCGGTGGGTTGACCGCAGAAGTGGCACCGCAGAAGCGGACAGGGAGCCGTAGAATCGAATTTTGGTATAAGGCTTGAGGACCGCAGATGCGGTCAAAGTACCGCAGAAGCGGAACCGCATCTGCGGAGAAAGGGTCGCAGAAGCGGATGGGAGTATCTTGGAGAGGACCGCAGATGCGGTCAAAGTTCCGCAGAAGCGGGACCGCATCTGCGGGTGGCAAGTCGCAGAAGCAAGAAAGGGGTGGCTCAGGGAAGACCGCAGATGCGGCATTTTAACCGCACCTGCGGAACCGCAGAAGCGGCCAAGGAACCGCAGGTGCGGAAACAACTGAAGCAGTGAGGTCTTTTAAGTTCGGGGTTGAGTTCATTTCAACCCCATTTTTCTTCGATTGGAGTCGATGGGGAGCAGCTTTGAGGTGCCATTTTCGTCACTTGTCATGAGGTAAGTAATTTATGCTAGCTTGGAGTTAAATACAAGGTTTATATATGGATTTAGACTTGAAAAATTGTATAAACTTGAGTTTTTGGTGGAAAACCTAGAAAATTAGTAATCTTGGAATTTAGCCACGATTTTGAGTATGGAATTGAGAGAAAATTATATATTTGAGTTCCTATGGTCATGGGTAATCTGTATCTTCGAAAAATTTCGGATTCCGGGCACATGGGCCCGAGGGCGTTTTGGTCAACTTTTCGGTCGGAGTTAGGAATTTCTATAAATTAATTTTTAATGAATATTTGAGCATAAATTAATGGATTTGCGTAACCGTTGGCTAGTTTTGGAGCATGGTGCATCAATTGGAGTCCCCGGAAGGGCATGGATTGCCGGTTATGGATCTTCGGAGCGAGGTGAGTCTCCTTTCTAACCTTGTAAGAGAGAATTGTCCCCATAGGTGAAATAATTGATTATGTGCTCCTAATTGCGGGGGCTACGTACGCACGAGGTGACGAGAGTCCGTGCGTAGCTACTATTATGCTATTGTCCGGGTAGTTAGGACTCACAACATGTTATACTTGGATTATTTATGAACCCATTGATAGCTTGAATTGCTTAAATCACCTTGGATTAGTAAATGAATTTAAAAGGAGATTGAACATCATTTTTCCTGAATTGTTAAGAAAAAAAATTATTTTATTTGGATAAATATTCCCGATAAGTCCTTAATTGACTGATTGAACATGTATCTCTATGTGTACCTGCGTCGCTTGCATGATTCGCGAGCAGGGTATGTGTTTATTTATGGAATGGGCTGAATGCCTCGGCAGATTAAATAGATGCATCTGTAGGCGCGCCGTCGACCCTCGGCAAGTGCACAGTTTATTTCTGTTGGATCGGGCCGTCGCCTCGGTGTGATTTGCGCATGTTATATTGTTACTTGAGAACCGTAAATGTGAAATTTGCCCTTCGTGGCTTGATATAAATTGATAAGATAATAAAGAGTAAACCTTGAAAATCCTCGATTATTTGTTGAAGGTGTATATCTGTTTTTTTTTCTGGCTTCGTGAATTAGAACTGCTATATAAATCCATGATTTCCTCACATTTTTAGTATATTGTCAATTGACCTCTAGTAAGTGTCGAAGTTGACCATCTCGTCTCTACTTCTTCGAGATTAGGCGGGATACTCATTGAGTACACGTTGTTTACGTACTCATACTACACTTCTCTGCATTTTTGTTGCACAGGTATATTTATTTCTAGCAGCCCACTGGCGTAGCAGCGCGGATGATTTGGGGCTAGGTGAGTTGCACTATTCGAGGCGGCCTGCAGCTAGTATAGCCCTCTTCAGTACATTGTATTTATTTCCTGTCCATTGTATTTCGGACGGATGTTGTATTTTACTTCCTTATCAGTAGCTGCTCATGCACTTGTGACACCGGATTCTGGGATTGTTTGAAGTATTGTATTAACTGCTTATTATTTAAATTTGATTTGAGACTATATTCTTTAATATTGCTAAACTTGAAGGAAAATCATAGATTTCAGAAGTATTAAAACGAGAATTTGATTAAGTAACTTGGTTGGCTTGCCTGACAGCAGTGTCCGGCGCCATCATGACCCTTAGTGGATTTTGGGTCGTGACACCTGCAATGATAATCTTTAAGCGTCAATTTTATAATGGTCCTTTTATGGTGGATAGATTTGTTAAAGAGCATAATCATGAGATGACTTCACCAAAAAAGAGGCATTTACTAAGATCTGTACGTTCGATAACTAAAACCAAAGGGTTAGTAATTGAAAATATGGTTAATGCTGGAATAAAGCCAACAACAACGTATTCTTACTTGGTAGAAGAAGCCGGCGGGGCTAATGTTTTGGGCTATTCAAAGAAAGATTGTTTTAATTTTATACACCAATTGATGAAATCTAAGGTGGAAGCTGGGGATGCTCAAAGTGTTGTTAATGAATTTAATCATAGACAAGCAAGTGAGACACTCTTTTATTGGGACGTCCAACTTGATTCTAAAGGGTGTATAGCTAACTTTTTTTGGAGAGACGGTCGGTCCAGAATTGGCTATGATTTTTTGGTGATGTTGTTTCTTTTGATACCACATATCGGACAAACAAGTATCGTATGATTTGTGCACCATTTATTGGAATCAACCATCATTGGCAAAATATTATTTTTGGTTGTGCGTTTTTATCTGATGAGTCTGCTGAATCTTTCAAATGGTTATTCTCTATATTTTTAAAGTCAATGGGAGGTATTGCCCCGCAAACTATTATAACCGATCAAGCTCGAGGAATGGCAATTGCCATTAGAGAAGTGATGTCTGACACTAGACATAGATTGTGCCAATGGCACATATCTCAGAATGCCCCATCTCATTTAGGGTCACTGAAGAATGATAAAGGTTTTTGTAAACTTTTTAACTAGTGTATATCTGAATGTGATTCTGTTACTGAATTTGAACGAATATGGGAGATGATGCTTACATACAACGTAGAAGAACACGAGTGGATGAATAATCTTTACAATATTCGAAACATGTGGTCTACGCTTTTAATAACAATACTTTCTTGTACATGAATCCTGTAGGAATGGTGCAATTATATTTGAAAATTTTTACTATTCTAATTTTTTTGGGTGTAGCTATCATCTACAAGTACGTGAAAATCAGGACCAAATTACAATTGAATGCTATGACTCAGCTACGGTTAACAATATTCATTGCTGCATTTACAGTTTTGGCAAAGCAGCGGAAGACATTAGATTGGCCACTGGAAATCTTTGATATTAGAGACTTTTGAGAAGGAGATGCTAGTGAACTTGGTTGATCTGATTTGTAAACAGTAGTAGCATTTTACATACAATTGTGAACTAAGAAACCATTTCAATGAATAATGATTGGATTTTGTCATGTAAGAAAAATACCTGCTTTTGTTATTGTTATCTTTTTACAATGAGTATTTGTCGTGGAACAACAGAATAGCTAGAATTCTAATAAGATTATTATTATTTTTATATTATTTAAGATTACAAAAATTAGATGAAGTTAACTATGGTTAAATACTACTAATTTATAATTAAATAAGATGATAAATATTATTTAATTATTGGCTTGATGTATACACCGAGTGCGGGTAAGTTTTTTCCCGCGGGATTAATAGACAGAGGCCGAACCAAAAGGAGTGCTATATGGAAGCGCTAAGAGCCTCAGACGGAGACGATTCTCCCGACTCCGACTCTGAGTCCAATCCCACCCCTCCACAGCCGTCAGCTTCTACATCCATTACTGAAGAGACAACAGTGGTCCCTCTGCTTCCACCTCCTATTTCACTCCTTCACCCGCCCAATTCTCTACGTAACTTTTCTTTTGCATTACTATCAATCTTTACTTAAAAGCAGAAAAAACTTATACGAGGCAAGTGTGTCTGTACGAGAATTTATGCTCACTAAGTGTTTGATCTTTTGTTTGTGAAGTTCCTTTGAACTCCTTGTCAAGCAGTCAAGTCAATCGCGTTCGAAGCTTTCCTCACGTTGAAGGCAATTATGCTTTACATGTCTACATCCCCGGTAATTTCATCTACTTTCCTAATCTAGGGAGCATTTCAGCTTCCTCTAATTTTATTTTTGTGAATTGAGCAAACAGCAGAATAACCCAATAGTGCTATTTCCATTCATCTCTTTTTGCCATATTGTTATTGGTTGGTCTATTGGTAATTTGGTAAACACTTATTTTCTTAATTTTTCTTTACATTCTAGTTTATGTACCACCTACAACAAGGAAGGAGCTGGCCCGTATTCTAAAGAAGGTCACAGCGCTTGTACCTCGTCTACATGCTGTTGATGTTGATATACCATTGAGTGGTTTGTTGAAAGATGAGGCCCTGCTTGAACAAGTGGTGTTGGGTAGAGAGTTTCACATTAGTTTGGGTAGAACTGTCCCAATCCTTGTGCATCAGATTAATTCAATTGTCTCCATGCTACACCAGAAGCTTCAGTTTCAGAGGAGGTTAGGAGGCATTAGTGAAGCCATTCATGCTATGCTCTGGTTTTATTTTGGGTAAAACCTGTAGTTTTTTGGTAACCATTGTCTAACAATGGACATAGGTGTTTGATAGATTTTAACAAATGGGAGATCTTTGTCAATGATGATTCAACTCGCACATTCATGTCACTGGAAGTTGTAGCAGGAGGCTTAGCCCAGGTATGGAAAATGACATTTCTTTAGTAGTTGTTGTTGGAAACATGGTTTACAGTTTTGGATGTCTCCACTTCTAGCTGAACTTGTTTCTGATACATCTTTTAGGCCCCTTAATATAGGATAGATATTGAGGCACATGTTTGTGTGTGCAAAATTCAAATTTAGAGTTATGAAAGGTAACATAACTTGAGAAAAAGGGAGTCTTAGTACATGGAAAAAAACTACCCAATTGACTGGCATAACCCTTCTCCTTGCCAACTGTCCAGCACAACCTTTTTCTTTCCTTGTTACTGAGGTGGTTATAAGGATATCTGAGGAAAAAATTACAACAGGCTTCATAATTTGAGTTGGATCAACTAACTTGCTATCCCGTATTTAATGGTGTAGATAAACAGTCCATGCATGTGTTCTGAAATATATAACCTGCATGATTATCTTTCGTTTTCAAGAGAGATATATCAATGTGGTTGGCAGCTGCATCTATGCTCAACTGTGATACGAGGACCGGTAATTTTGAACTCATGGCTAGTCTAAGTAATGATAAACTAGAAGTAGAGTCATACAACTGAGGAAGGTTATTTCCCTCTGACCGGGAAATTGTATTGAAGTTGCTGCTTATTTGTATTGCCCAACCCTCCTCTTCCCAGTTCCCACTGCCGCAGCCATCTACTACATAGAAGGTTCTGTATATGGTATCTTTTTCTCTTAGGGCCACTGTATCCATACGCTTCTCTTTTACTGATGGGGGGTGCAAATAGATTTTATGAGAATGTTCACAACTGATATTGTTTGTTGTCTTCACAAACATTGATAAACTGTAACTAAAAGTAACATGTATGGAAAATTTAGCCTATATGAAAATGTCAAAAGTAGACCAAGGGGATTCATTTTGATGACCGAGAAATTCATTTGGGGTGAATCCTTAGGACCAACCACAGCCTTCGAAACTTTGGGATAATGGGCCCACCCCTCTACCTTCTCCACTTCTATACCAGGCTAAGTTTGCTTGGTGCAGGGCTAAACTATGGGGATGTTAACACCTAGAATTCCAAGAGATGACAATACTGTTAAATCTCGGTACAAACTTGATGAAGCTTCAAGGCTTTGTCCTTTACATTTAGGAACGTGCTTTACGTGAATCTGGAAAAGCTGAAGATATATTGATTCAACCAGAAATGCGCAGTAACAGAAAGAATGAAGAAGTAAAGGTCAACCATCAGTCAGAAGATTTAGTTGAGCTAAGGCACGCATGTTATTTTTGTCAAATAACGCAATTCAAAAACAACATCAATAATATGGAAAACAAAATAAGGGGTGCTTATACGCGTGTCAATTGCAATGTGATTAACCAAAGTTTCTTTTAACTAATCGATTTATAGCAGAGATTCAGAAAAGAAATGGATGATAAAGTTTCTTTTTACTAATGGATTTATGGTAGAGATTGAGATAAGAAATGGATGATGTCTTTATGGCAGACAATTATAAGTGGTTGGCCCTCAAGTTTAGGAAGGAGGATGACAAATGGTTGATGTCTTTATAAAAGTCATAATAATAGGTTGGCCAACAAGTTTGGGAGGACAATACATTAACTTTCGTTATTTTATGTAGATTTTAACCAAAGCAAGGAGCAGAGGGATGCAATGGCAGGTTTTGGAGTGAATGGATACATAAAGTGATAAAACTATAAAGAAACTAGCGAAGAGTGTGCTAAATATGTATTGTTGGCTGAAAGAGGAGAGAGTTCTCAGTATACTCATCTCCTGGACTTGTTGGATTCTCTGAAATTTTAATGTAAAACAAGTCCTGCTTTTTTGTGCAGGGTACTGCTTTTGAATAAAACTTTACCTTATAAAAAAAACTATAATTAAACTCGGTGTTTCCCTAAAGCTAATGGCAAACGGTGCAGGGGGCACTGTTATCAAAGGCGAAAAGCGCAAAAAAGCTCTAAGGTCTGTTGGGGCTTTAAGCGCAAAGTACAAATAAAGGGTGGGCTTTAATGAAGAAAAACGCAAATACAAAAAAACTACAAATATGTATGTGTAGTCCAAGACTAACATCTGTTAGCATGAATACCAAATATATGGACAACGAAATTGAAGAAAATTTACGATAAAGTGAAATATCAATTGTTTTGGCAAAGAAAAGTGTGCCTTGGAGCCTTGATGACAACACTGAAGCGCCTACTAAGCGAGGCGAAGCGCCTACTAAGCGAGGCGAAGCGCTCAGCATGTTGCCAAAATTCCACGGTATAGCCAGTTTTCGGACTGGTCAATAAAAATAGCCAGCATTTACCAAGTCAATGAAAAATAGCCACCGTTTTGCTGCAATAGAGACCGGTCCAGCATAATATACTGGAGTTCGGTGCACTTGTGTATGAACTCCAGCATATTATGCTGGACCGGTATACTTTGCTGGCTCTAGTATAATATACTGGAGACTGGAGCACTGGTGCTCCAAACTCCAGTATATTATACTGGACCATTATACTTGCTGGAACTCCAGTATATTATGCTGGAGTTCTAGTGTATTTATGCTGGAACTCCATCATATTATGCTGGAGTTCCAGCATACTATTCTGGAACTCCAGTATAATATGCTGGAGTTCAAGTATACTTATGCTGGAACTCTAGCATAATATACTGGAGTATTTTTCGGGTTTTGAACAGTGTTTTCGCTCAGATTTATCTTTACATAAAAAGTGGCTAAATTTCGATTACTTTTGAAATTGGGCTATTTTTGAACGACCAGTTGTAAATTTGGCTATTTTTAAAAATATTTTGAACCTCGCCTCAGGACTTAAGCGCGCTTTAAGCACGCCTTCGATAACACTGGCAAGGCGGGGCAGTTGCGGGGAAAACCCGCATAAACCCGTGAAGGTTTCAACCCGACCTACAAAGTATAATTTGCTGTTTTTAAACCGCCCCGCCTCGCGCAAACCCGCCCCGCATAATTTATTATTATTTTTTAAATGTTCTAATTTGAGAATATTATTAAAAGATACCATATTCCAATGCATTATAATTTATATTCTTCTTTTTAGAGAAATTTTATGCAATTTTTCTTAATTTTTCTTCTTTCGTTGGTGTTAACTCTACTTACTTTTTTGCATATGGAGTAATTTTATGTTACCTCATATTTTTCAACTTTCATATTGTGTAACTGTCTATTACTAAAAATTAAAGTTACGTTTCTTACAAACTATTTTCGGTTCCTTTATGAGAAGCCAACAATTTAGTATTTTTGCGTTTCTTACATATTGCTTGGTAAGCTATATGTAATGCACTTTGACCTTTCATTACTTACGCATCAAATTCTCTTGGAACAGAGATATTCGAATAAAGAAAAGGAATGCTAACTAATCCCCTAAAGCAAGAGTACATCTCATCTGGGCACTACCAAAAGACAACCTCTTTACCATAAAGTTAGCCATTCTTCAGCCGTTCAGTAGCTGCAACAATCAGCAGCTCACATTGAAAACTCACACCAATGCTATTCAATTCAATTCCTAAATAGAATGAATTGAATAGAAACCAATAACTCTCATATGCAGACATGCAGTCATCAAGGATCCAAGGCAGCAAATCACAAATGGTTGTATGGTGACTTAGTTGTTCATATTTACTTGAGAGTTTAATCACATCAAGTATTGAAAATCTAAAATAACTTCTATCAAAAACACAATTCAACAAACAACCAATAATTAATCCAAAATAGCAATAATGACAGATTACATTCCAAGAACTCAAGAAGCAAGGGAAGGATAGAAAAACAAAAACTCAATGGAATTCATAATTTGCAAGGATAGTAGTTCATTTACTATCACATAAGAATTGTTAGTAAAATTGCAGAAAACAGAAACTGAAAAAAATCTAAAACAGGTCAATTAGCAATGTGAAATTTGAGGATGCCAATCCTTCCAATTTGTCAGGACTCTTAGCACAGTTTAATAGCCAATCCTTCCAGTGCTGCACTTGCTTCCAGCAAATAATGGTCCAACCAGCTTGGTACATGTACGTATGAGTCTTGAATTACTTTGTTGCCTCCCTTCAATGCAAAACATGTTTAAATAACTATTCTGTTGCAACTTGAATAATTATGATTCTATGAGAAGTACCACCATCCCGCAAGACATAAAAGCAACATGTCAATTGTAAGTTAAACTATTAGAATTCTATCATATAAGTACATAGAAAAGTCAGAAACTGAAATATCCCTCTAGCTTCCCTATAAGAAAATAAACTCAATGAAAATAAACTTAATAGTAGATCCTCAACAACACTAGCAACTTCGTTAGAACTAGATGCCTGAAATGACTCATGTGAAGCAACCACTCTACTTTTATACTCATGAAAGAGATCAAAATAATGGTTTTGAACTTCTTGAATTTTATCTAAAGCTTATTCACCATAAATTTGTACAAGATAGAACTCCACCAACTTCATCCTATATCTCGGGTAAAAAATAGTAGCTACAACCATCAAAATATGCACATCATCCCAGAATTATTTAAATTTCAACAACATTGATGATGCCATAGAGCTAATCAAAGGATTTAAACTTTTCACCCAAGCTTCCAGTTCTAGCTTAATATCACAAAATTTTGAAAAGTATCGAGTTGAAGTTGGATATTGACTCCCCGAGAATTGTTCAGTGATACGGTGAAACAGCTTCAACTTTTCACAAACTTTTTGTGCCGCACTCCATTGCCCTTCGGTTTGAAAACAACGATAATTGGTGTCATTTATACTCAACATTGTAAATAGCTCTTTGTAATCTAGGGTTGTTCTCAACATAAGATATGCTGGGTTTCAACGAGTAGCGCAATCATAATCCAGCTTTTTAGTACAAGAAATATGTAGCAACCGTGCAACTTCTTCAAATCTTTCGATTTTGCCTAAAGATGCTATCCAGTATAAGGCACTGTTACGTATGTTACTAGTACCATCTTCTATCACCTTTAATCCTTCTTGCACAATCAAATTTAAGATGTGTGCGGCACAATGCACATGCAACATTCGACCCATCAACAATAAATCTCTTTTACAGAGTTTCTCATCTAACAAGGTTTTCATCATAGCATTGTTTGTGCTAGAACTATCAACTGTAATTGTTGATATTCTTCTTTCAAGATTCCACTTTAACAAGCAATTAGGCAATGCACTACACAAAGTATCCTTATCATGTGGAGCAGGAACATAAATAAATCTAAGAATATGGCTTTGAAGCCTCCATGAATCATCAATAAAATGTGTCGTAATAGCCATGAACCCTTTTTTGGTATTTTTTGAAGTCCACATATCAGTTGTTATTGCAATTTTACTAGTGATTTTTTTCCAACAACTTAGAAGTATTTGACTTCAAATTGTCAAAAATCTTCAAAATATCATTCTTGATTGTGTTTCTAGACACCATTTTAAACAACGGTTGGAGACTAGCAACAAACTTTCTAAATTCCACACGATCAACAATGGACATTCGATTTTCCATTTTTTTTTATGTTCCTGCTCGTGCCCGGATAGAGAATGGGCACGACTCCCCCTCTCCCCGTTCTACCGTCCAAACAGGCCGGTCGTTCTAAGTTTCGGGATTGGGTCGGATAGGACCAGATACAATATGGGTACTCATGCAAAATGATGGCATGAGCAAGTTCTTTACGTGAAACATCTTGATCAAAATAATATTCTAAGTAACCCCCCCCCCCCCCAAACCATCCTCACTTTCTAAGTTACTCGTCTTCTTGCAACATCTACGAACATGATCTAACATAGACGACGTCCCACATTTCTTGTTGATTTAATACGAGCATTACAATACTTACAAATACCAAAGCGAATACCTTCAATAACCACTGGTTTAAAATGTCTCCATGCTGTAGAACTAAGTTTTCTTTTCCCGGTTTAATCAATAACTTCAATTTTAACTTCATCAGATTGCTTAAGCCTTTGGCTCTCATTCTCAATAGGAAATGTACTGGAAGATGAACCCACTGGATTCTCTTCATTTTGAGACTCCATACTTTTCTATAAGGCAAGAAGAGGGATGGCAATCACAAAATAATTAAAAACAGTAGGCTGATTATTAAACAATAAATCATTGAATTGGCAAACAAAAAAACGAAAAAGAGAAGCCGATTATTAAATTAACTATAGTTGAACTCCCTACTTAACATGACAAGTAGAATCCGAGAAGGCAAGAAACAATTACTTAACCTAGTAAAACCCAAATTCAGATTCAAAGTAAAACCCAAAAGCCAATCTTTTTCCTAACCCAAAACATAAACCACAGTAGAGCAGCAAAAATACAGCATGATTTTTTCAAAATTAAGCTCGAATCTTAGCGAAAAAGAAAGAAAACAAAGAAAGAAAGAGTTATCTGATGTCCGTAATCTTCAACATTAAGTGGAACTGTGGAATTTAAGAGTATACCTGGGATGGAGAGATGAGATTGTCGCAAGAAAGGAGAAAGCTTGGACCTGTGGTGCTGCTTGAGTTTGTCAGTCAGAGATTTGAGATTGAGATTAAGAGATTTGAGAGCTCAAAGATGAGATTTGAGAGTGAGATTGAGATTAAGAGATCTGAGAGCTCAAAGATGAGATTTGAGAAGGGAGATATGATATTCTGATATTAGCTGTGGTGTTACGTTTTTAGAGTTTGAGGTCTTTAGACAATTAAACTTAGGTTTTATCTTTTTTTTATTAAAAAAAAAGCTCTAACCGCATCCTGCCCCGCATCCAATTCTATTTTAAAAAATTGAACCCGCGCCCGCCTCCGCGAACTCTCTAACCCGCCCCGCCCCGCACCGCCCCGCACCGTGCCATTGCCATCCCTACATTTGGAAGCATTATCTATTTCCTTCAATCCAAAAAGCTGCATTGTGTGGTTGTTAAGAGGTTCTTCCTGCTTTAATTTTGGTCACTTGCCGCTGTCTCCCATTCCCGTCGAAGGTACTTCGAGGGACAAGGGTCATCTGCCGCCTTCCTCTTCTCCTATCGAAAGCACTTCGAGGGGAATTCGAGGCTAGGGGCCGAGCAGATCGAGTGCGATACCGGGCGATCGTGCTCCCATCGGGAGTAGGGTCGAAGAAACCAAGCCAGCAGATGTGTGCTCGGCTTTTGACGAGGCTCGGCGGCTTAATTTCATGGTAAACTTTGGTTGCTGGTATAGGCTTCTTTAGTTTCGCGTCTTCCCTTTCTTATTGAGCTCCTTTTTCGCAGGCCTTTGACAAACTTAAGTCCAAGCTGCTTCGCCGTGAGGCCAGGCTGCGGAAAGCTTTGGATGGGGAGAAATCTCACAGGCTTCTTTGCCCGAGAAGGGGAGATGAGCTGGTATACCTGCGGTATGAGGCGGATCGAAGTCGGAACTACGAGGGCTATCTCGAAAGACAGGTAACCTTATTTTTGAGCCGATGTATGCTCCTCCTTCTGCTTTTGTAGGCTAATATTCTCATGTTTCAGCTGCAGAGTAAAATGGAGGACCTGGAACGACTTTGGGGCGAAGTTGGCCAGGTTAAGCGTGAGCGTAACGAGCTAGAAGCCCAAGTTGCAGCCCAGAGGGATGTTTTGGCCAAGGCTTCCGACCTTGAAGTGCAATTTCGGAACGTTTCGCGCAAATAGCCCGGTCCGAACAAGCATGATTGCGAGGCTCGAGTATGAAATTTTAAAGATGAAGGCAGAGGTTGTGATGCTCGGACTGAAGCCGAAGTGGTCCGAACCAAGGCTGATAAGAATGTGGCCGTCTTTTTGCAAGACGCCGCCGACGCTCGAGCTGAGCTGAGAAGGGCTCTCGACCGGGAGAGTAGGAGCAAAGAGTATGTTAGTTGTAAATCTCAGAGGGAAACCCTCGAGGAGATCCATGCCAGGGGCTTCGATCTATCGAAAGAGATAGAGCAGGCGAAGGCGGACGAATATGACGCTAAGTTCCTTCTGTCCGATACCGAAGATAGCGAGGAAGAGGCCGACGGGCCACAGTCCCCGAGGGGGACGTAGATTAGGCCTTCCTTTTCTGACTTTGTGTATAGTGCTTTCAAAATACATTGTAAATGGAGCTTTGTATTTTTTCACATATATGTATAAAAGGAAGCCTTGCAGTTTCATTTTTCATGCACTTTCCTTTGCTTTTATGTTTGTCAATAATTAGCCAGATGAACTGGTCTTCGAGTTAAAGAACCCTTGGGTTTATAGTACGGCCCTGGGGCTCGTTGGGCTGGCCCGCAGGCTCTTACGCGTTTGGTCGGTACGACCCTTTAGTATAAGCCGACGTTTAAGCTCTTATGTTTTTACTCTTAGGCATATTCAGTTAACTGTTTCGGGTTCAATCTTCGAGTCGGTTTTTGATTCGAGCTCATTGACCCTTGTGTTTTTGAATTTAAGGCTGGCCCTTAGGCTCTTACGCGCTAGTTTGGTATGACATTTAATATGGGCTGGCGACGATGGCTCTTACGCATTGGGTCGGTACGACCTTTTACATGGGCTGGCGACAGTGGCTCTTATGCATTAGGGTCGGTACAACCTTTTACATGGGTTGGCGACAGTGGCTCTTACGCATTAGGGTCGGTACGACCTTTTACATGGGCTGGCGACAGTGGCTTTTACGCATTAGGGTCGGTACGACCTTTTACATAGGCTGTCGATAGTGGCTCTTACGCATTAGGGTCGGTACGACCTCTAATATAGGCTTTATTTTTCCCTCGTTAAGGACTTTTTGAAATTGTGTTTTGCCTGACTCTTCGACGGTTCGGTAGAACCTCGATTGTGAGCCGTTATGTGGCGATGATCGAGCACCTCGAGAGGTTTTGCTCGGTGGCTGAGTGTTTCGAAGCCTATAGTTTTGGAGCTGACATGGTCGAAGCCCTTTTGCCTATGTCGAGGCTAGCCTGTTTTAACCGGTTCTTTTCGAAGTTTTTTCGAAGTAATTGAAGGCCTGTGATTTTGTAGCGATGGTCGGACGTCCCCAAGTCGCATTAGTTTGGCTGGTATAGCCTTGTGACCGTAGTCATTGTGTTTGGCCGGAGCCTTTTAGTCCCCGAGTGAAGTAGTTTCTGCGTCTATATCGAGGGTTTGCCTTTTTAGGGGTCTTACAAGTTCTATATATAGCCTTAACTTTAAGATCGGGTTTATGCCTTTTGTAAGGTCTTATAAATTTGAACATGCCTTACTTAAGGTCTTACAGTTTTGGTTACTTGGTACAAGTATAGTTCATGCCTTGCTTAAGGTCTTACAGATATTGTTGTTGCCTTATATAGGTCTTACAAGACCGAGGTTGCCCACATGAGGTCTTATGGCCTCGGGTTTTGATAAGTCAATGGGATGGCAATTGGCGATAGTCCCTAAGACATTGAAAGTTTTCTTGGCTCTGGAGCCGTTTTTGTAGACTTGATGTTGCCTCGTTGAGGGCTTACAAGTTCTAAGCTTTTGACCCGGAGGTCATATGGCTTTGAGTTTTTGACGCCAGTCCCCGAGTGTTCGGGATGTTTTTTTGCCCTGGAGCCGTTTTGTAAGCTTGACGTTGCCTCATTGAGGGCTTATGAGTTTGAAGCTCCGACCTGGAGGTCATACGGCTTCGAGTTTTTGACACTAGTCCCCGAGTGTTCGGAACGCTTCTTGGCTCTAGAGCCGTTTTGTAAACTTGATGTTGCCTCATTGAGGGCTTACGAGTTTGAAGCTCCAACACGGAGGTCATACGGCTTCGATTTTTGACGCCAGTCCCCGAGTGTTCGGGACGCTTCATGGCTCTGGAGCCGTTTTTGTAAAAAATACCGAGCTTCTTTGAAACGCGGAATGCTTTGATGGAGGGGGAAGTACTCTTTGATTACTTGGTACAAGTATACACGTTTTTGCTGCAAGGGCTCGGTTATTCTATACGGACACGGTTCGTTCGACCGTTTGGTCCGGTACATCATTTTCCTATCAAGACCCCGTTCAACACATCTTGGCTTCTCCGAGGAGGTGACCTTCCGGGGGGATGTCCCCCAGTATTCGAGGTTGATTGAAGAGAAGCCTTGAATACTTGTTGAGCCTTCCTCAGGTAGCATATAGGTGTTGCCTCGTTAAAAACCTTGCCGGTAAAACCTTTCTTGGGATAAAAACCTGGTCGGACGAAAAGAGTGCAACGTACGCTTTTGGAACCTAAGGCCTTCGAGTTGGAAAGTGCTTCGGCCGTTTCGATCGGATACCTGCACTCAGGTTAGTATAAAATGTAGTTGAAGAATGGAGATGATCATACCTTAGTGTTGACGGCGCTTCGAGCCTTGATATGATTCAATCGTTTGTTATGAGGACACGGTACGGTCCTGTGCTTTGTTTAGTCGGGTGTAGCCGAGAAAGTAGCTTGTTATTGCTATTTTACTGTTTGTTTATCCTTTGGCTCCTTCGACGGTGGAGGTATTGGTGCCGGTGCCACATCATGCACCGCAAACATCTCTTTTGCTGCATGCTGTTCCCCGTAGACGGTTTTTATCCTATCCTTTGTCACAAATTTCATCATATGATAGAGGGTGGATGGTACTGCTCTCATGCAGTGTATCCATGGCCACCCGAGCAAGGCGTTGTACCTCATGTCTCCATCGATGACATGGAATTTGGTATTTTGGGTAGTGCCGGCCACGTTGACCGGAAGGGTGATTTCCCTTTTCGTTGTTTCGCTCGCCATGTTGAACCCGTTGAGGACTCGAGAGGCGGGCACGATTCGGTTGAGCAGTCTACCACCCTCGACCTGATAATATTGGCCGAGCTACCTGGATCCACAAGTACACCTTTAATTTGAAATGTATTCACAAGAAAAGAGATTACCAATGCGTCGTTGTGAGGCTGAGACAAGGTTTCGATATCCTCGTCGCTGAATGTGAGAGCGTCCTCGGGTATGTAACCTCGAGTTTGTTTTTCTCTGGTGATGGATATTTTTGTTCTTCTGACCATGGGTTCTTGTGGAGCATCGATGCCTCCTAAGATCATGTGTATGACATGTTGTGGCTCATCTGTTTCATTCTTCTTGGCCGCCTCTCTTTCCCAGAACTGATTTTTGGCTCGGTCGCTAAGGAATTCGCGGAGGTGACCTTTGCTGAGTAGTCGGGCTACTTCTTCCCGTAGTTGTCGGCAATCCTCGGTCCTGTGACCGTGTGTGCTGTGAAATTCACACATTAAGTTATGGTTCCTTTGCGAAGGATCTGGCATTTTGTGCAAAATAGGCAATAAGACGCATGAAATCTGCAAGTTTCAGGAGGAATAGCCATCATTTACAGAGTGCAGGACAAACGCCTCAAGTTCTCTTGTGAATTTTGATGACAGTAAGTGCTACCCTATGCATCATCAACCGCAGTCGCACCCTGCAAATCACTGTTATCATGGACTGTGAACTTGGATATTATATCTAACTAAAAAATCACATAAAACTGCTTAAGGAAATTAGCTTGGACATGCATTGAATACTGATATTTGATCTGCTGTTCTTAAACTAGAATAGTCTTTAAAAAAAAAAAAGCACCCATGTATTTTACGCATTTCCAGTAGTTGACTTAATGTTAATTGTAAACCACTCTCCCGAGGAAGCTGTCTTTCCGACTGATTCCATTGCCAAGCTACAACTAGAGAGATTCCTAATTAACCTTCCTAGTTCAAGCCACTATGCATTTCCCAGAAGGCTAATGAAAAGAACTTGTTACGAATAATAAGTCCAATGGAACAAGAGGGAAGGCTGGGATTGTTGATAGGTTTGTTGTTTTAATAAAGATAACAAGACGAAAGGCTCAGCCGCATCTAGAATCTCTGTACAATCTGTGCAGAAAGAAGATAACAAGTCCTGAGTGCGTATTTCCAGCACATAGATGATGTAGTAACTTGTAAAAAGGTTCGATTTGTCTAATTCTTGATGCACTAGTTGAGAAAAACGCTGTGAGAGTTAGCCCTTAAAATGCTATTCCTGAATCATTCACTATCACATATATGTCCAATCTAACTTTTGGGTATATGAAGTGAACTATGTCACTATTTTATGAGAATACACTAACCAACTCCCATCATGGATATGGAGACTTGCGCAAACCGAGCTTTGAGGTATCATTTGCATCAATCTTGTTTTGGGTTAGCTTTCATATACTGAAAAACAAAAAAGTTCTGAAAGGAAGATCCTTGTGGCAAATCTTTCTAGGTACTGCACAAACCGAATCGGAAAACCGCCCAAACCGAAAAGTCAAACTAATCCGATTAAAAAATTCGATGTGGTCTGGTTTGATTTGGTTTGGTATTGATTAAATAAAATCCGAAGCAAACCGACATATAAGTATATAATTTTTATATATACTTTTAAGACTTTATATAGAATTTTCTTTAAAAATGTCTAGAAATATTTAGGATTCTATTATGGGATGTAATATTGAATAGAATATGTAGTGCTCCATTTTTATTAACTTTAAATAATGTATTGTATGATCACTTTCTTATCAAGTTTTATTGAAATGCATCAATATCTTTGTTCTTCCATTTTCATATGTCAAGATCTATTAAATTCTTATATCTTTTTCAAATTTCAAGTGGTATTTCGATAACTAAAAATTAAATAGAATATATCATTATATAGGTATCATATTGATTTTTATATTTAATTATTAAATTCGGTTAACCTTGAAAGTGTACATCAATGAATAGTTATTGTCACACAACTAAAAAAATAGATCATGTGCTACTAAAAAAATTCTCCCATAAGAATATTTTAATAGATCATATGTTTGTCAATTTTTTCAATTTTCATTAAACATATATTTACCACCCCTAGGTACAGGCACTCAGCATTATAAACTTCCCATCATCATTATCACTAAGGTTAATTATAGTAGCTACTTTTAGAAAAAAGTTGTGAGGGTTGAAGTCATTTAAGCTCGTTATCAGTGATAAGATTAACTATGACTGTAGAAAATAATGTTGTCAGTAACTTCCTTTCCAACTGGTCCAAGTTTAGTCAAACTGTTGCACAAAAAAGAAATATATCACCTTTACTAACCTTCCATACGTATGGTATTTGATGTAGTTTCTTATCCGTAAATCCCCC